CATTTGGATGGCCGGGTCAGAATTTGATGTAAACAACATGAAAGCATGGATCCATCCTGCCTTGTGTCAACGGTTCAGGCTGGAGGGGCTTCGCATATGCGATGTGCAGCCTACAAATCTGCAGCAACTATGTCATGCTATCATGTCAGTATGGACCAAACTCTCTAAGGAATGTTCCCATCACCTTGTTGAATCAATGCCACGTAGAATTCAAGCAGTTCTGAAGCCAAAAGGGTCCAAACCAGTACTAGCAAGGTGTACCTAATAAAGTGGCCAGTGAGTGTAGATTTATACCTCTTTTTTGTTGCACTACCAAAAAATCAAGGAAGAGGGAAATCTTTTGCCAGCATGGACCCCAAAGTATTACCAGGTGGTGGTGAGTGACCTTTGGACCGTAGACAATTTCAACAACAATTTTATAACTTTATTTTCCAATATAATTGAAAAACTATCACTGGGTAGAAGAGCCACCTTGTTTTCCTGTGCACCTAATATGTAAATTAAATAGTGCCACACATGAAACGCCATCACAGAAAGCTGTAAAGGAGAATGGGCTCTTATTTTGGTCACAAAGCCCAAAATAATGATGAGCATTTTAAAGAAGTTACTACATGTATATATGGAACACTGATAATGCTGAATTTACATATTTACGTTGCGGTACAGCAAATGTGTAACAGAGAATCATCAGACACTACAAGGGGAATTTATCAAACTGGACCATACATAATGTGGAGCAGCTGCACATGACAACCAATCAGCTTCTTTCTTTCATTTTCAAATCTTAACTGAACAAACTGAAGATGGAAGCTGATTGGTTGCCATGGGCAACTGCTCCAGATTTTGTCTGCTCAAGTTTTGATAAATTCCCCTCTACGGTGTACATTTAATAAACTGTAAAAGAGTGTGATAAGCAGTGAGAAGGCTTTTCTCACCTTAGCAAAGTGAAAAGGCTAGAAAATGGTGTTTAATAACCCATAATAAGTCAGGTAGGAACTGAAATATCTCACCTCTTCTCATCCTGGTGATAAGTACACAGAAAGTAATGGGAATGTACCTGTTTAATAAAGGGAGAAAAGTAGAGAACAGCTTTATCACTGGATAAGTATTGTGAAAAGTGCCCTTGATTTAGAACCCTGTCAGACCTTGTGATAAAGGCCTTTTTCTCGAGAAGCACTGAGCTAAGATACAGGAACTTGTCATAAACCTAATTCCTTTAGGAACCTTCAGGAACAGTTAAAATAAAGCACAGATGCTTCTCTTCTGGATTTCTGACAAAGCCGAGAAAAACAAAGAGATCTGCTGAGTAAAGATAACTCGTGATGAAGCTAGTTTTATCACGGTTTATTAAACGTACACCTACATGTATTAACTATTTGTAGCACAGGCTTAGTATTGCTTTTGTAATATATATGCAGAATATTGCTCTCTGAAACTGCATTGCATCTTCTGGCTTAACTGATAGCTAACAGAGACTGGAGGAGAGACTCTATTGGTTACTGCTTTGGCTAAGAAGGGAGCCGACCCCTAACAACAAAGGCAAGCAAGGACTTGATTGGATAGCAGCCAGAAGAGCTGTGATTGGCTGGCAGGCTGTTTTTTGGGCTAGAGAGACACCACAAGGAGAACAGACTGAGGGGAGAGAGGAAGACACAGTGAGAGAGACACAGACTGGTTATGTTACAGCCTGACAGGGGAAAGTGTCCCTTGTGCTTGTCTCTTGTGCACTGCAAGAGTCTGTGATTCCTGTGGAGACTTCTAAAGGGAGGTGCAGGCTTGAGGGGGGAGTTTTCCCTGTATAATTCTTCCATGTCGCCTAATCTCTGAAGTGGTGCTAACAGTGCAGTGACATCTAGAGGCGGATTTCTGTACTGCGATCATCATCATCCTGTTTGGAGGATTCTGTGGCCTGTGTTGCTCTCATCGCCATCCAGTCAGCTGGGACAGCGATTAAGCTACCAATTGCTGGAAGGAGGATATATCAAGTGCATCTAATGGTGAGAGATCTTCTGCCATCTTTGTGTGAGTTGATCTTGTTTAATCCGGCTAGATCCCATTAACTGGCAATGCAGCTCTATCTGAAAGAGGATCACCACATCTGTTAATCTTTGTTACCCTGTGACACTTTGTGAAGAAATCCCTTTCCATCCTGTGGTACAAATACTGCTTCACAAAAGTTACCCAACCACAGAATTCAAAGGGCCCCAACGCTAGCCGACTGTGTGTGTGTGTGTGTGTGTGTGTATAGAATTCCCACTGGCCAGTGATTAGTTAGAACCTACAAGACCTAGATAGGCTCTTATGATCAGTTATATTACTTTTGGGTAATTGTTGACCAGTGTTTCTGTATTGTGCAACTGATAGTGTCGTTCACCACTCGCTCAGTGCATTTCAGGCAAGGCCTCTCACTGGCGGTCAAAGTGAACAAACACAAATCCTGTTTTATTGTGCTGAGTGGTTGCATCATATCATTGCATTTGATATTGTTATCCTGTTATTCAATTTATCTATTTCCAGGGCTTATTGTTAGCTGAATAAAGCCCATCTAAAACTTTAAACGGTGTATTGGTGTTACTTGGGTCCAGGTGAGGGTGAGTCATCACTGGTGTGGGACAGAAGGCCCGTATATTACAGCGGCCCTCTCGGGGGTAGCTCTACACATTTAAAGACCAGGGGTGGGAATTTATCAAAACTGGAGCAAACCGAATCTGGAGCAGTTGCCCATGGCAACCAATCAGCATCTCTCTTCAGTTTGCCCGGGTAAGATTTGAAAATGAAAGAGAGAAGCTGATTGGTTGCAGTGCAAATCTGCTCCAGATTTTGTCTGCTCCCGTTTTGATAAATTTCCCCCCTGGTGTTTACACCCCCTTCCTGTCCAGGCCATTTTTCAGTGTTCAGCGCTGCAGTACTTTGACTGACATTTATTCATGCAACGCTGTACTGAAATACATTTTATAATGTTTTTGGGTACAGATAGAACTTTCATTTGGTGTTATTTGATCACAACTGGGGTTTTTATTTTTTACTATATTAAATACATAATTTCCTATTTTTTTTTTTAAACGTTTTTTTTTTACATTGTTATAATACATTTATTATTAACCAATTGTTGGTAAAATATAAAAGACGGGGTCGTGTCTGGTAAATAGACACCAAACATGTCAAACCTGCACCTGCAAAATCGCAAAAACTACCATACCCAAAATTGGCCATAGGTGACGCTTTAAAAGCTATTACCACTCTTTGGTTTAGCGTTGTTAGTGAATAATGACCCTAGAATTATTGTCCGCGCTGTGAAGGTTGCGATGATATGTAACGTGAGGTGTAATGACCGCAATCTTCCTTTTCACACATATGCGCACCCTATGCAATTTTTGCGCACATTTATGTGGGGCTGGGGACTTTTTTTGTGTTTTTTCTGCTTCATCAGCTTCACTCCAGCTTCTGAAGCCAGAAAGAGACAGAATGCGGAAGTGATGAAATATACATCACTTCCACATTCTGACACCGGAGAGGAGATCATGTGCTGACCTCCCTCTAATCCCATCACAGAGCCACTGTCACGGGCTTGCACCGGGCACAGCGGAGCTCAGAACCAGTGCTGCGGAGCTCAGGACTCACTGACCGTCACCTCATACAAACGATCCGGCGGCTCTACAGCCGCCAAACCGCTTGTATGTAAACAGGTATCATTGCCTGTTTTAAATGTTGACTGTTTCCTGAGTGGGCAAGGCTAACAGGCCTCGTACATAGCACACATTCACATCAGTCCCTGCCCCCAAGGAGTTTACAATCTAAGGTCACTATCTCACATGCATACATACAGGGCCAGGTTGAAACAGGAGCCAATTAATCTTCCAGCATGTCTTTGGAGTGTGGGAGGAAACTGAAGTACCCGTAGGAAACCCACACAAGCACACGGAGAACATGCAACTCCTTGCAGGTAGTGTCCTGACCAGGATTTGAACCAGGGACCCCCAGTGCTGCATGGCAGAATTTAATTTCCTCTTGTGTGTAAAAAAAATCAATGACTTCTGGAAATGTAAATAGTACTATGGCTGAAGCCATCATGCCTTTTTTCTTGCAAAATCTGTCCTTTAAATAATGAACAAAATACTCAAAAACATTTTTATTTAAAATAAAATACTCATTTATTTTGGATTTCAAACTAAATTTACAAAATAATATCCTCCAGCAATGTAGTTTGCAGATATTAATAAACTTTGATACAATATGCAGTAGTAATTTTCTTTGGTAAAGTAATAAATAAAATATAAATATGGGTTATCTGTTTAATCTGGTAATGTTACAGTTAAATACTCTGCATTGCAAGTTGTGTACAGTAAATATTACATGCCATATATACCGTAAAAAGTACAGTTATATTTTTTACAAGTAATACATACAATGTAGATATATAGAAAAGTAGGATACTCAGCAAGATGTTTTTGCAAAGTATCGCCAGAAATCAATTTGAATATTTTAATAGTTAAAGAGCAGTCATAACAATATAAACAGTTTTCTGTTGTTCTGTTGCTGTGGGTAATGGGGTAGCACAACCACAGCCTGACTTTGTAACAAACAACAGAGCTCTTGATAAAAGGGAAACCGTCCTAGGGCTAGTTAGAAACTATTTGTCCCACTCCTATAAGAGGTGAGAATTTGCATATACGGAACCAGTTTGGATTAACTTACCCTTAATTTACCCAATATTCATAGAAATAATTACAGACTACATTAACCTCTTGCCGTCCGCCCGTAGTAAAAAAACGGACGGACGGCACTGCAGCATAAGCCTCTTTTACTGCAAAAGTTAGCAATCAGTAACAACTGCATACTGTAAAATAAATAATAAAATACAGTGCCTAAAATGGTCCAAATTGAGAACATAAGTGGTAAGGTTGTCTCTTCAGTTGTAAATTACAGTACATCTTCACAATAAATTAATCTAAGATATTTTTTCATTTATTAGGGGATTAGAGAATACTTTAAATAAGTATGAAATATATGAAAACCCTAAATGCATAACTCAATTACAACTACCACATAATGATGCATAATATACATTTATAGCTGTACAAAATGACAAAAATATGGATGCATGTATGTAGAATAATATAAGAAACACTTGTTTGCAAACACACTGTGACTTACATTTTTGTTAAATGTTTTTTTATAAAGTATCCAACTAATTTCTGAGGTCTCTGTTGATAGTCCACCAGAACATCATGGGCACTAGAAATCTGGTCTCCCTCCAAACGATTCAAAAGTGTGACACAAACCACTGCGCCTATAACAAAAAAATAAAATTAGCTAATCATCATTAAAATAAATACAATAATGTAGGTGGTCATTTTCTAAAGCTAAGCTCTGTAATGTCACAGCATGCCGTCAATAAGCCATATGTTACATTATGATTCTGGTTCACTGACAGCTTGTCTGTCATAGTACATACTAGCAAAGTCATTAGCACAGTGCACACAAATATTTATTTAATGTCAGCACACATTGAGTGCTTTAAACAAACCTATTTGTAAGCATATGCTGAATTTTGAATGAATCTCTGCAGGCTGTAGAAGTGCTTCTTTTATCAGAATTATATCAAAATAGATACACTGCAATTACAGCTCTATATACAGGGTTGCTGTATGGGTTGTCTTTGCTTGTGTCCCATTTTGCAATAAATAAAGGGAGGCATTCAATGTGGAAAAACCATTAATGATTTCCCATCAGTAAGGTTGCACAGTAAAGGTCTTCATGTTGTCACATTTGTATTAGTAATTTTATCCAATTCAAAATGCAGCCGCTGATGTGTAAAATGACATTTGCAGATAGTCTACAAGTCTCAAAGAGTATTACAATTGTTACATTGTATTTACTGTACCATTCATCAATAAACATTTCCAAGTAAAAAAAAGCTATCAATCCCCTTCCCTACAAATTTTCTGCTGATTTTTTAAAATGTATTATTACTTCTATTGTTTGTCTTTTTTGTTGTTTTGATTCATTTTGTTTATTTGTTCAGTGTGACATAAAAAGCAAATTTGCAAAATAAAAAAAAATGTAAAACCCTTATTCATTTGAAAATAACTTTGCCATGCCTTTTACCACAAAAACATGTTATATATTGCCAGAAAAAAATCATCCTATATATCCCTGACATGCTGTGATTTGATTTTGTTATCACTAGCAAATCTGGAGCATACTTAGCTGTGGGGCTGCAGGGAATATATAGTCAACCACTGCACCACAAATTTTACCCTGGCAGTGGAGCAGCTTTCACTAAAGCATATTTTTTTTAATGACAATGAAAGAGCAGAGAGTTAAGAGGGTGACTGGAAATGGCATGTACATATTCCTTGGGAATGCATTCTTGACCCCCTCATAGGCTCTGAACTGGTATGTTTGCTCACACACCTATTGTATTTGTTAATCATCAGTGCAATCTTATTTTCAGTCAAACGTTTCAGTAAGCTTACCTCGCAGTCCACTTATGTTACACATTGCTGCAAAAACTGATGACTCCATCTCAATGTTTCTAATGCTGGCATCATAAGCAGCTTTAAGGTACTGCATCTTCTCTTCCTCTGTATATGAGCAGATTGCTCCATCAAGACGTGCTTGGCCTTTGTGGAATAAAATGTGAAATAAAAGATCAGGACATACCAATATTTCTGAATTATGTCTTTGATAAGTCAAAATCCCATCTACTGAAAATAGTTTTAACCACTATGAATGAATAAAGAGTTATATGTATTTACACGTGCCTTCTTGTTTGAAAATGTGAATAGCAAATGTTATGTCTATAATAACATAAGCCTGCTATGTAAAATGTCAGCTCTCTTGAAAACAGTCTGAGTATGTATTTACTGTCTTGATAAGTAAATACTTAAATTAAAGCTATACAAATAAGACTGTTTTCCAATAACTTTCTTGGTTAGATTTTTTTTCAGATTGAGTTTGTTTAAACTAATGTTGCATAACTACAAATTGGGTAAAACATACAGCTAATAAATGATCAGATGGCTCCCCAATGCCTGCATGTAAAATACAGGAGGATTGTGTCTGAATATTTTTGTTAAAATGGTATATATAGTATAAATAGTTTATTAAATCCAAGGAAATAAATTCAAACAAACCTTCATAGAAGTCCAAAGTGCACATTGTATTTCCAATAACAGTGTTGAACTCATTGATTTCTTGACTGCACTCAGCCAACTCTTGGGCCAATTCTGCATCCAGTTGTGTACCACGGATTACTGTTTTACCAAGAACAATTTGTTCAAACTGAGGCTCAAAACGGGGATTCACAGACTGACTTGTAATCACAACAGAGCCTGGATCAATACCTAGTTAAATGTTAAATTAAAAATCAGTTATAGAAAAACAAAAATTCATATCAGCAGTTTTACATGCTCAACAAATAATTCTAAATCCAAGAAAAATGTTGACTTATAAGTTTCTATACTGAGAAATAAAATGAAATACTATACTAGTTTACATTAGTCCCATACAAAGTTACAAAAGCAAATAATAATAAAAACTTGACATTTATAATGTTATATTTGTAACATGCATGATGAGCTAATAGGGGGCTAGCATAAACCTCACAGGTGATCTTCTGTTAAGAAAAAAATATATCTAGTATGAATAAGAGGCTTCAAAAGTTTAGTATTTCCTCTGTTAGTCACCCTTTATTTTAAGTGTACAGCTGTTTTTCTCAACCACCGGATGACTCTCTCCCTTCTGCTGTAATGAACGGACCCTGCAGGGACCTGGTGTGGGTGGCCATCGCGGTCCTGTGCAGGCGCGCCGCGGTTCCGCAACCCCAGCTCGACGTAGGAGAGGGGTGATGTCTGGTGGAGCGTTCCGTCGCCGCCTCGCGCAGGCGCATCGCCGGCCTCCGTCGTCTCTCCCTTCAGAGCCGTCTACGTCGGGCGCAGGCGCACCAAGTAGCTCCGCCCCCCCAAGACGCAGCACTCGGCATAAAGCCGAGAGACGGTAGTTGATCGGCGTCTTTCTGTTGATAGTGGAAGGACGCTGATCAACTCAGCACTCCACTCGTCTCAGCCTAAACGAACCCAGTGCCTTCATCTGGAACCTATCATTGACCACTAGAACCGCAAGTATCCCAGGCTATGCTATACGATAGCCTCAACACTCCTGTGCAGTCAGACCTATTGTGATTCAGTGACAACCTTAGGAAATCAGCTGTGTGCTGCATCTGTGTACTACTGCTTACCCTGCTAAACTACCACTAACCTAAGTTGGGAGATTCTTGTATGCTGTCAATGCATTACTATTGTCTGCTAGTACATACTTGAAACAGTGCTTCAAACATACCTGCTGTGTATAACCCTAACCAGTGCATTACCGTTGTCTGCTATTACATGCATACCTGCTGAGTATAACCCGAACCTGTGCATCACCATTGTCTGCTATTACAAACATACCTGCTGTGTATAAACCTAACCAGTGCACTACCGTTGTCTGCTGTTATATACTTGAACCAGAGCTCCTACTCTCCTGCTGAGTATAACCTTAACCAGTACATTACTGTTGTCTGCTATTACATACTTGCCTGCTGTGTATAACCCTTGATCAGTTCATTACTGTTCCCAGCTGTATAAACGGGGTGTGATGTTTTGTAGCCTCCTAACCGCTTAAACTACAAAACTGGGCAATTCAGGGAGTAGCTACTAATCTGATACCCGTTCCTATTAACCATTTCCATCCGCAGTTGTGATCCACGGAGGGAATAGACCCTTGCCCAAGGCGAGCATTACATCTGCTCCCTTCATCTGTCTTTTGATAGCAATCATTGTGCAGAAACATTGTAGTTGTACTGTGCTATGTAGCATATATCTAAAATCCAGGAGCTAAATAGGCTTCTGCACTGAACCCTGGATGTCAATAGAGTCTGAGTTTCTAGCACTTTAGCCTTCACTGACCCACTACAGCTGTATAAACCATAAATCTCATGCAAACATCCTGTAGAATTCACTGAAGTCCTACAGCTGTGATTACGTTTTAGTGGGCATGTTGGATGTGAAAGCAGCAGGGTTGAGAAAACCCCGTGGCTACTCATAGGTATTAGAGAACGGTCAGATGTGCAGACACAAGCTGTTCGTCCTAAGGGCAGTATATCTCCTGAAGCCTATCTTTAGGTAGAGTAACTGGCAGTTACGTGGTCCTGGAACAGACTGATTAGCAGGTACTACAGTATTTCCTGCATAACAAAAGTAGATCTTTTTTTATTTTTTTTCCATAAAGAATGCAAAGCGCAGCACAGATGTGCAAAGGGCAGTAATCCAAAGCAGCTAATTAGGTTTCCAATTAGTGGAATCAATCATAATGTTAACGGGTAATTGATTTTAGGTTGCTGTAAGGTATTTTGCTGTGTACATCATTTCTCAACACTGCCATAGTGAATAAACCCATCTCTAGGTGACCAGCAGTCATCCAGAAAGGATTAAGTCACCAACCTGCTCTGGGATAATTGATTGGGGATGCAAAGAATATTTTCAGATTTTATACTTTTTTTATTTTTTTATCCAACACATTGGAAATGGCACCATGAAACATTCTAGCAAACAAGCTCTTGGTCACAGGTACATTTGGGCCAATATCTGCTCTAATGTTCAGTCTAAGTGGCCATAGTAAACTGACAGAAAAAAAGTCTATATACTTTACCTATGCCTCCAGATGTACCAATACGAATAATAGTAACATCACAACATTTGGAATGATACAAAAGTTTGATCAGTTCGTGAAGCATTATTGAGATAGATGGAATTCCCATGCCATGCTGCAAAAGAAAAAGTCATTTGTTGTATTACAATTGGTTAAACTTTTAAGCCATTCTTTTTCAGCACCATAATGAGAAAAAGGTGTCCACAGGCTACTAGCATTCTACTAGTATGTTCAGTAAGAGTAGCAATAAAGGGAACAGGCAAACATTTAATATAAGAGCTATTTTACTTGCCAAATGATCTATATCTCTATAAGTAATTGGGAAAAGATCAGCTGCAGAAGGTCTACATAAAGTTACTGGTGACTAGTCCAGCTGTCTAGATTTTAGTTAATTTCCAGATTTTAGTTCTTCTTTCATAAAAAGATCAGTAAATAAACATTGCACACCTAGCCTAGTAACAAAAATTTCTAAATTAATGAATGTGCATGTATCAACAGGCAAAAGAGAAACTGTGACAGGTTATATTTGGCTAGCAATGCATACTAGCCTATAGATCATTGTATTTAGGTACAATGTTTAACTTACACTAATGGACAGCACTGGTCCTACTTTATACATGGCATAGCGGTCTGTTCCTGCACAGATGTTAGGAATGTCTGCTTTAGGGTCTCCCATTTTCAGTTCTCCAGTAATGTACTGAGCAAAAGCCTTCATCCTTGATGGACTGCCTCCAACACATACAAACTAAAAATAATAAGATATACCTCAAATTTGTTGAAACGACAAAAATAAGTAGTTTTTTAAAACATTTACACACATTAATAAAATCATTTACAAAAATCTAATCACATTAACATGCATACTGTAAAAAAAGATTATATTTTCCTTTAAAGAAGAACTCCAGGCAAAACTTTTTTTTTTATCCCTTGCAGTGGGGCTACCCGCACACTGCAAGGGTTAAGTGCTCATTTTCATCTAGGTGCTCAAATAAAAAAGTTACGCTCACCTGATCTTCGGGGTCCGCTGGCTCTAAGACTGTCCTTCCAGCCTCTCTCCCCCTCCACTGCAACAGTCACCACATCCAATACAAGGTGTATAGGACGTGAGGAAGCCGAGGGACATACCATCGCTGAGGTAGAGGGTGAGACAAGCTGGAGGAAGCGCTGTAAGGTTCAGGTGAGTATATCTTTGTTATTTTTGCAGCTAGACCAAAATAAGCACTTGACCCTTCCAGTGCGGGAGTAGCCCCACTGCAAGGGTTAAGAAAAGTATTGTCTGGAGCTCTTCTTTAAGCAGAAACTGTTCCTAATTAAACTTTAATTAATAAATCCTCTTCTGAGGTAGCGGGGGCCTCACATTTTTTTTTCCAGGTTGGAGCTATCTTCGGTCTTCTATCTATTGAGGAGTAGATAGCTACTGACCTTTAACAATACCTTAGTTAATTTTGCAAATCCCTTCAGAAGAGTAAATAGAGTGAAACAAATACACTTCTTCTTTGAGCTGTACATTTTTGCCACACCCATAATAACTCTGAAGCAAGCTTTGTGAAAGCTTTTACAAACTGTATAAAGAAAGTAATGATCTTTGCTCCTTATTGTCTCTGCCCTGGCTTCACAGGGATCATTCACTATGTTGGAAATACTAAACTGAAAACACAAACACTGTGTTAAAATATTTAAATAAGGAAGAATGTTTCACAGAATCTATAACCAATATCATATTTTACAATACACTTCTTGAAGAAGATATCACTTTTGTAAATAATATATGAATGAGTCATTTATAGACTTTTCATTTTCTTACCTTAACATCCCCAAACAGGGCTGGCAAATCATGAGTCTTTGTTCCAAGATCAAAATGATATAGTATATCTTCTTTCATCTCTTCCAGGTGAGGATTTGAGACTTGAAGAGACCTTTTTTCTCTAGCAATAAAAAGTATAAGAGTATAAAGATCATTGAGCTGGGGTGCAGTTAGTTAAGGTGATATTAATACCCAACTGAACTTTTTTTTTTCATCCTCTGGCTGAGTAGAAAAGCCTGCCTTCTTCCAGCACGCTGCCGAGGAGGAGCCTTGTTCTTTGTGTGGAAGCAGTGGTCTCTCTCCAGAGATTCAACAAGCCCCCTGCCGAGTAGCTCTGAATAGCTCTAAAAACAACAAAGCTGTGTTACCTGCTGATTGGAGAGCTTTAGCTCAGACTCAGCAAGGGGTATGTCAAACCTTTGCAGAAAGACCACTGCATGAACAGAGAGTACTTCCTTACACCTGCAGGCAGAGTTAGTTACTCAGTCAGAAGCCGCTTTCTTAAGAAAACAAGCTATAATACTTTGTACTTTTTTTGTTTTGAGGAACCTAAAATGTTTTACATTTCATTATTAATGTATCCTTCCCAAAAATTAAACATTCATTTGTATATTAGCCCAGCTGGATTATTCGCGGGTCCCCAGGGTTCTATGTGATTCAGTTAGCTGGTGAGCTATGGGGTCTGTCAATGCCTTCCAATGCCTTTCTCCTACTACTATGTGTCCTTCTGTCTCAGTCTGTCTTCACCTTGTCCTAACCATCCCTCAAGTGGTCAAGCCCTGGAATCATTTAAAGAAGAACTACGGGCTTAAAATAATTAACAATTGCAGTGGAGCTATCCTCGAACTGCAAGGCTTAACTGCTTGTTTTTCTCCAGGGGACCAAATAAAGAAGATATACTCACCCGAGCCTCCATCCTGAGACAGAGACCACTCACCTCTCTCCCCCTATGCTCTGGCGATGGAATGTCCTTTGGCATCCTCACGTCTAATACACTGTATTACACATGGTGACTCATTAGACTGCCGGAGCCCGGGGAAGAAGAGGCTGCAGGGAGCGATTTAGCAGTCAGGTGGGACCAAGGCTCAGGTCAGTATATCTTTTTTTTTATTTTAGACCAAAACAAGCAGTTAACAATTGCAGTGCAGTGATAGCCCCACTGCAAGGGTTCATTTTTATTCTGCCTGGAGTTGTTCTTTAAGGAATTCCTATAGTTGTAATGTTGGTTTGTTGTTTTAATTTACTACTACACTCTCCAGCCTTTGTTGTGATTTTGCCATTCTGATCCTGTTTCAGCAGTCTTTTTATCCTTTTCTTGCTACTGGGTGTCTTATTGTCTTTCCATTCTCTCTTTTGGTTGCCCTGTTTTGATCCCACAGTGCCTGTATTCTATCAGATGCAGTTACTGTTCAGGTCTCAGAGAGCCGTGGGTCCCATCGCTTCATGAATACAATAGCCAGCAGAGGAGATGAACATCAGAAAATGTGTTGATTCCCCCATCAACGCTAAACAGCATAGATAGGTAAATTAGCGGATTTTCTTTTAGAAATCTAAACATGTATGGCTAACTTTACCTTCAATTTGAATTTGACTTGTTCAGATTTGACAAGTTATGATTTAGGGCCCACTCACACCAACTGTGGTGCGTTCCAGAGCGGTAGCTGCTGGAACGCACAGCGATCGCTCACAAAACTTTCCCCTGCGTTCTGGGGCGGGAGGGGGCGTGGTGGTGCATTGACCTCAATGGCACCGCAGCCACGCCCGCAGCTTCTCTGGAACGCACCACAATTGGTGTGAATGGGCCCTTAGGGTTTATGGACTGATTCTTAACTACACTGGATAGCGACAGATAAAAGATGTTTACCCAAAGCTTTCATATGTCTTACTTTTCAAAAAAATAAAAATAAATAACTTAAGTTAAATTACAAAGACTATTTTGTTGCTGTAGTGTAAACTAATCCCTTGGAATTGTCAACTAAAAATCATCATCTTTTAATACAACCTCCCGAGGCTAGGTGTGACTAAGTCATGTTTCCATGTACAGTATAAGGGTCCATTCTGACAGGAAAGGTTTTAAAAGTGCCCTCAATAGACCCTTCTAGGGATCAAAACGATCAATAATTACTGACACTTGTCCAAGCACTGGACATACCTTAGAAGTTAATTGCAAATTCTAAAGTCAGTTCAACACTTAGGGGTCTATTCACTAAGCTGCCGAAGGATCTAGCCGTAGCTTCGGCTGATCCTTCGGCTAGCTTTGGCCCCAGGACCCCTTCAGTTCAGCTTAGTGAATAGACCCCTTAGTTGTGACACTATGAATTGTCTGACAGATCTAGTGTCTCTGTGGGCTATGTGTTTAGGCCCTGTGTTCTACATGATTAGTGCAAAAGTACTATGTAATTCACAAGCCAAAAAAACTATGTAATTCACAAGCCAAAAAAAAAAAAAAAAAACCTTTACCTTCCCTGAGTGAAACAAATCCTTATTCAATTGTATCTCATATGCTCCACCTCCCAGACACTGCAGCTCACAGTGGTTTCAGCAATAAAGGCAGTGCTGTCAATTTAGAAAGAAGTGGGCAGGATTAGGCGTGGCCAGATGCTGATTGTCAAGCTACAGGTTTGTGAATCAGCAATGACAATGCTGATAGCCATACCCCCTGCAACATTTTTCATCCTACTGTAGTTCAAGCAGACAAAGTCTACATGAGAATAGCAACTCTGCTCTAAATATAGGAGCAGTTCAGCATTGTTGCCACACCATCACAGGAAGCTGCCTTAGGTGGGTGGATTTCACTGGCAGACTCAACGGGTATTTGTGAAACTTTGCAGGAGAATAAGAGTATACTGTAAATGCAGATACACTTATAATAATGAGAGGCAGCGTATTTTTTAATGGAAGGTCGGAGTTACACTTTAAAGCCCTTACAGATAGAAGGTTGTAATTCTGTCTCAGCTTTCTAGAGAGCTTTTTTCCCCCCATTATTTCTTAAAGATGGGATCTATGACTTTTAAAACTGTCAGTGAGGCTAAATATCCCCAGTAGCTGTAATGTTAGAATGAATAATGTCAACTTTAAAAAATGAAGCTAGTTATAAATAGCAGACCTCTGACATTAATGTGCACTGTGTCTTGAATACTGGAAAATATAAGCACAGGAAATATGCATCATGCAGTTTCCCACATTCCCATACTTGGATGTGACACGCTAAGGGTTTTAGAATTACTACAGAAAATGAAGCCTTATCATGCATAGTTTTCTTGTTCAGAGAGATTTGGACAAAACAAAATATTAGAGGAAAAGCAGACACTGCGTATGTACATGTATGTAAATAGCATTGTCAAATGTGATAGTATGGAGTTTAGAAAGCCCCAATGCTCAAAGAAGCACTACACATTAATGTACGGTATTGACTGTTTTCTGAAAATCAATATCCATGGTTATCTGGGCAAGCATCAGCCAGTGGCACACATGAAAGATTTGTAGACTAACTAACTGTTAGATGCAATTTACAAAGAATATACAAGTTGCATTGTGTACTCTCTTATAGTAAGACTGAAAATATTCTCACTATAGTTGGCACAGTTGGTTCTTTCACTCCAATGGTGCTTTCATTTTAATACAGAAATTATTTCAAAAATTATTTGCTATCCTGCCAATTTACCACAATTTTGTTTTTAAAAATAAGTCCACTTCCTGTTTCCACTTAAGAATCATGTTACAACCACAATCTCACTCTGTTGGGGTTCAGTAGCTCCCCAAGTCTGGTAATTGCTGTGCACAGGAGCTGAATGTGAGCAAGGTTAGGGTAAGCGATGTCAGTCTGGTGGCTTTTGAGTGGGAAATCCTTGGCTTGATATGGATGCTGTGTTATGAGGTTACATAACTTGTGATCCCTGCTTTGTTGGCTGCAATCACTGCCTCCACCTAGCGTGTCCCAACATTTACCACTACCCTTTCCCTTCTTTAAAATGATCAGTACCAGCATATCCCACTGTTAACTGACTCCATGGACACCACTGGTCTAGATACTAAATTCTAAATACAGTCTATTTAGAATAACAAGACCCAGCATGCTCCATTGGTTTCTCTTCTATCTCTGTCGAAATAAAAGTCTCAACCTATCCCACTGCAGAATTTCCTGATTCTGTAAAACATGCCCAGCATGTCCTAATAAATCTCTCTTTTTAAAATTACAAGCATTGTAAATCCCCTACATACACAACGCTCACTAGATAAACTATAAGCTACATCCCAAGTCACATCCGCTGGACTAATTTCCTTGACAATATCAGAAGCTGGCAAGCAACAAATTATTTTGATTTTTTACATTTTTTGAAGGGATATTAACTCTTCACACTAAAGTGACATTATATTTTGACTCATTAGGATTTAACACAGTATTTCTTAACCAAACTTTTGTGGAACCTTGGGGTTGCTCCAGAGATTTCCTTTTATGATTATTTCTTAAGGAAACGTTGGCAAACAGAAAAGTGGGGTATTCAAAATGTATCCACCCTGACTGTCCATTATGCTTAGTATACCATATTCCTTATTTCTTTATAATTATGTCTACAGTTTACTGATCGTGCTCAGATACCGTGAGCTGTAGATGTAATACATTTTAGAAAGTTGTCTTGAGACCTTCTTAGTTAAGCATCTAACACAAACTGCCTATTGATATATGTATGCCTCCAACAACCAGGGCCGGTGCTAGACTATTTAGCACCCTAGGCAAATACTCAGTGGGTGTTTTCAATAGCCAGCCTGCCATTAGCTTTTCAAATTTGAAATAGAGGGTGGGGCGCCGTGGGGTGGAGTGAGTGGTCAAGGCTGCACCCTAGGCATCAGGGCGCCCTAGTTTGCCTAGTGGCAGCACCAGCCCTGCCTCCAACCCTGGATTACGCACATTATGCAGAGCAATAATCCTTTATCTCCTCCATTCATGCTAAGCAGAGCTGGATTTCTGGCTAGCCCACAAAAGTCATGACCCAGAGTGCCATGCAAGCCAGAAGCACCACTTAGCCAACCAGGGTACATTACATTTTTAGTGGCCTTTGGTGCAAGAAAACATGCCACCTTGCCCATTCTCCTGTAGATAGTGAAGTTCTCTAGGCAGTG